ATGGAGCTACTAGTCAAAAATAATTTTTTAGCAACATATTTCTTGTCGGGTTAGCAACTATCAGTCAATAAATAATAGCAAGATGAGGTATATTACTAATATTAATATTAGCAACATAGTATATGTTGCTAATGATATAGCCCACTAGAAAATTTTAGCAACATGGTTTTTGTTGCTGAAATTTACTTTCAGCAACAAGAACCATGTTGCTAAAAGTAAATAATACTTTTTGGGCTGAATGTGTACTGTTTAAATATCAACAACGTGGGTCTTGTCGGTGAAAAACCATATCACCGACATGCTCCATGTTGCTGATTAATTTATGGAATTAGTACAACACGCAATCATGAATAGTAGCCAAAAATAGTAGCCGAAAAATTTCAGCAACATGGTTTTTGTTGCTGAAAATCACTTTCAGCAACAAGAACCAAGTTGCTAAAAGTGAAGAACACTTTTTGGTAAAATGTGTACTATTTAAGTATCAGCAACATGGGCTTTGTCGGTAAAAATTCATATCACCGACAAGCGGATCTATGTTGCTGATACTTAATTGGTGAAAAAGAGAATTTTAATAGTGTGATTATCCTTCACATTTTCAATGTATACTCATCTTAAAAATAAAATCATAAGAAATTTATTTTATAGTTTAAATTAAATTAAGTTATGTAAAATATAAATCATTAAATAAGAAAAGATGATTTTTAATATCAAAAAATTTATTTTTATCTAATAATTAATATATTATAATTTAATATAATTTAAACTACACTACACTTTTTTAAAAACATAATTAAACTTGTATAATTAATTTCTCTGGCCATCCAAAAACTTCACGGATAAGGATATGCAAGTAGTTTTCTCAAACAAATTTTCTATACAATATTCATGTATCACATGAATGAATAATATAGCATTACATATTCTAAGAGAATAAAAAAACCAATAATTAAATTATATATAAAATTATGCAAAAAAAAAAAAAAATCTTTCAATCACTTTCTAAATTCCCCCAACCTGACCATTACTAATTACCAATTCTAATTCAGGAGGAAATTTCCAAAATTAGACGTAGGAGCAAAAAGATTAAATGAAGATTCAAAGTCAAGAAGATGATGAAGGGATTGAGAAGACAAAGGCGAAAGGAAGTGTACGGGGAGAAGGAAGTGAAGTGGCGGAAGACCACGGCCATTGGTCGGAGAGGCAGCAGCGGGCGCTCCGGGTCTACTGTCCGATTTTTTTCTGGTTTGTGCTTGTAGCTGAATAAACGATGTCGTTTCAATATTTTGAAAATGAAAATTTTCCGTTGCCGGGAATCGAACCCGGGTCTTTCGGGTGAGAGCCGAATATCCTAACCGACTAGACTACAACGGATTTTTGTCACCCAGGTGCTTCTTTAAATTGTATACAGTCAAATTTTATGTCACGTACAATTTCACATAAGCCGGATATATATGCGTAAAATGGTTTGCAGTCAGTATTGTAAATTTTTGGGCAAAATTGAATATTAAAACGACACCATCTTATTTTCCCTAGTTTTTCTTCACCGTCCTCGTTTGATGCTCTATCTCCCTTTTCCCTATTTTATCCCCTCCATCAAACATAATTCTTATGATTTATCTTTCATCATGTATGATTTCTCTCTTTCATTGTTAACATTTTGTTTGTTGTTTGAAGTTTCATCAATTTCTTTTTATCTTATTCTTCCTTTGATTCATGTAATCTCTCATAGGTTTGATTTGATTTCTTTTCAATTCTCTTTGATTAATTTTTGTTCAACACAAAAATTTACAAAATAATCACTCCATGTAGTATTGAATATTATTTAACAATAAGAAATTCCCCCAAGAAATTCTAAGGATTCCTCAAAGATCTCTCCCTCTTTAACCTTTTTTTCTTTTTTTGGTTGAAATTGAAGAAAAGTATAATTAAATTAGGGAAACCAAAGGATAGAATAGAGGGTTTTTACAATGCGACAGCAAAGATCTTAAACAGAGAGAAACAATTCAAGTTCCATCTCACTTTGATGTAGCCATCTTTTTGTCGGCAACTTCTTTGACATGGTCTTTAGGCCTTTGGTGAACTAGTTGAGTGGCTATGGTATGGGAGGATGAAGGAGAATTTGCAGGAAAGGGTTTTAGAACAGAGGGCTTTTGAATGCAGAGAAACATGAGCAAATCAAAGAAGAAAAGGGGATGAGGTTATTGGTGTGAATATGAGGAATACAAAGAAGGAATTCATGTTAAGGATTTTGTAAAAATCTAGAAAGTGGAAAAAAGTGAAAGATGAAGACGAGCAAAATTGTGATGTTGTACATTTAACTTGAAACTGCGTCGTTTTAATAATTTAGTCTGACAAAAAATTGACACTAGCGACTAAGATCCAGTTTCTCGTGTATATATATATATATATATATATTTTTTTTTTTTTTCCTTCTGATTTTTAAAAAAATTAAAGAATAACATTTGCGTAAGTAAATTAAAAAAAAAAAAAACAAAACAAAAACAAAATGCAAGTTACTCTGCAAACTTAAACCCAAGGATAAGAATACCATCTTTTAATATAAAATAATACTAACCTTATATTTGGATTGAGAATAATAAAAAGAACCGCAGATAAATTAAGAAATGTTTGATCACGTGCAATGTTAGCATCTAACATATTTGATACCCAAAAAATGAGAATTGGATATAAGAGTAAGCGTAAGGTTGTAAATACCTTTCCAATTTCCTTTATTTTTCTTTTAAAAAAATTGTTATATAAAAATAGAACTGAATTCTTAATATGTGAGTACAAGTAAATTTATTTTTAGAACACATGATTAATGAATTTATTTTTAAAAATTTTAATTATCAATTTAGGAGAAAATCAGTAAAAAGCATTTTTTTCCCCCTCTCTCATATCCTTGCTCGAAATATGGTACCTACGAATCATTTGTTCTCTCTTTGTTTTTTCCACTTTTCTTTTTCTTCACTATTTTTACCCAAATGGCATTTCTATTCAATTCTCTCCCAAAGTCAACACCACACGAATCATACAACAACAGAGAAAAAGGAAAAAATAACATCACCTTAACCCTTATTATCAAAACTAGTTTTCGTTTGGAGTAAAAAAAAAAAACTATGTTTTCCTTTGATAATGAGGCTTCAAGTCTTGCGGTTGTAGATTCTACTCCTATAAAAGCAAATTTTTTAATGATTTTTTTAAAAAAATTTTGAGTTTTTCTAAGACAATTACAATTTAAGAAAAAAAGAAAGAAATATTTACACAATATTACCGTAATTTAAACTTTTGTACCAACCAAGACATTGCATGCACTAACCAATTAATTTGCAAGGCCTCGTACCTAAATTTTGTACTTGTACCTAACTGTTTTGTCTACTTATATATACTCTTTTTTTTCTTTTTAAACATTTTGTCATGGCACCGATTCAAATCGTTACCCTGAAAGAGGAAAACATGAACCTTAGAAGCGTGGTTAGAATCACTTGATTCGAAGGACCAGATTCATCTATATATACTCCCTTATGTACTCTAAAAACCCAAATTATAATTCGGATCTAATGTTTTGTAGTTCCAAACACGTAAATTAGAGACTTTTCTCAACCTATTAATAAATAATATTTTATGATGAATATAATTCAAATTATAAAATATTTTTTTGCATTACCATAATTTCATAGCAACACAGGAGAAAGAAAAAAAAAGACATATTCGAGAGTCGGCTCAGGTGACTAGCTTACATTACGTTCCACTTTCCGAAATTAACTTCCGTTTGAAGCACTGGCTGCAGGTTAGTTGCAGACCTTGCCATTCTTCACCAACGGAGCATGATGAAAATCCTCAGTCTTCATCTCCTTGGCCTGAGGACCGCCGGCGAATCCTATATTTTCCTGACGCCATCTTTTTTTCTCCCTCGCTTTCAGCCAAACCCCAAACAGTTTCAGACTTCTACCTTCTTGGTCGTCTTTTTGATTACCATCGTCTTCATGATCACAACCGCCATCACGGTTGGGCCTGCCGCTGCCTTCACGCATGATGTTACTGATCTGATCAGGCCTAACCTTTACGTACTCAGTCAAGAACACTATCAGCACCTCACACTGCCTTTTCATCTTAGCTAGTTCCGAGATCAGGATCTCGTTGTCCTTCTTGAGCTTCTCGTTCTCGTCTGATAAATCGGAGAACTGATTCATGGATGCTGTCTCCACCGATCCTGGGTTCTTCCAGTCCGGCAATAAGTTGGACGTGGATCCTCCGTCCTCGCCGGAGTTTGAAGATGAGAGAGCTCCGGCACCCGTACTCTTGCCGTCCGTATTGTAGGAAGATAACTTTGCCGTTTTCCGACGACGTATCTTGGAGAGGAGCTCCTTCTTCCCTCTTCGGAAATTCTCGTTCATGAATTCCCATCGATGCGGTACAACCTTCCGAAACCCCTGCAATCAAAGAACCTTCCAGACCAATCATAACATAGAAATGGATAAAATGTCCTCATAGATTTTCTGGTAGTTGGATTGTCCAAATATTAATTAGTTTCAAAAACTAGCTCACCAACTAATTTGATATTTAAAAAAATATCAAATTATAAAAGAAATTGGACTTTTTTTTTTTTCTTTTTGGCATTCTTTGTTAGTGAAATCTAAAAGTTTTTAGTAAATAAAAAAAATTTTTAAAAAAAGAATATATAGATGAAGAGAAAATCATAAAAATGAATCAATTAAAACTTAACTAAATTAATATTTATTAACTTAAAATTTTAATTTAAAATTAAGGACAACGTAACTGGCAAGCAACTAACTATTCCGATGTGTAAAAATAAAATAAAACAAATAAAATCACGGAAATGGAGATGAACTTACATAAGTGTTGAGCTGCCGAACGAAGCTGGAGAAATTGTTGTGCTTGAAATAATTAGGCAACAGATCTTTAACAAAATCGGCGGATTTCCAGACAATGAAGGAAGTGCCGTTTTCACTCCACGATATCACATCATTCGTGCTAAGATCATCCACCAGCTGGTACGTCTTCGTCACAAACGGTGCCGGAGCAGACCTCAGCCCCATTTCTCTCCGGCGATCGATCAAGTATCAACCACCAAATCCGGTCCCGTCAACAAGATCGGATTCTCACAAGGCAAAATTTAAAGAGCAAGAAAGTAGTCAAGAATTCCCACCCCCAGCAGTAGAATCCAAAAAAGAAGAAAAGCGTGGAGTCAAAGAGATTGTGGCAGCGTTTGATCGTATCAGCTTCCATGGGATTACAAAAGCAAGCTTTCTGGCATAGCTCCCTTGAGCAGCCCCAAATGAATTTTCTCCGCGATTCTACACATCGTGGGAAACAACAGAGGCTTGATGTTGGTTCTAGAAACAAATATCCGACATAAGTGGGTAAAAATTAATGGGTTATAAATGAAAATAATACCGCCGTGAATTTGGATTAGTATTTACTATTTACTATTTAGTTTATAGGTTTATTTAACCTATACAAGGTTAAAGTTATAATAAATATATATTTTTAAAATTACTATTTAATAATAATAATAATAATAATAATAATAATAATAATA